GGCCTGACTCTCCCCAGCGGCTTAGACGGAACCCCCCCTTCTCCTTAAATACAGATCACTGCTGTTTGTAGGGTCGTTTAGTTTGAAAAACGGTCCTTGCGTTTTGCTACGTTTCGCCACCTTCACACGTGACGCCCTGTGAGGTGTGAAAAGATACCTTCTGTGAAAGGAATCTTCTGTTTGTGGGAGGCAACTCTGCCGCCTCTCCCCCCCACCCCTGCCCACTGACTGTCGAAGGTCAAATTAGTCAAGCTGGTTAAGATGATTGAAAGGATGTAATCAGGTGAACAGACAGAGGCTGTGTTTTCCCTCCCTGGTGAGGGAGAACCAGAACAGGGGGCAGAACCTTCACATTTGGGCCAGGTCACTGGGGACTGATGTCTGGAGGCACTTGCTCAGGTGAGGGGGTGCATGCCTGTGACTTCTTCCTCCTCCTGCTCTCAAACGCTGTTGGGATCAGTAGGTGTCAGCTGAAGCTTCATTTGATAGGTTCTTGTGGAGTTAGGCTGTTGAGTATTTTAGAGCCAGACGTGTAAATAGAGTTGAGATATAATCAGCCAGGATGGAACGGAAAGGTGGATGAGGCTTGGAGGGTTGCTTTGCCATCTCCTGTTTGTGTCTCACCCCACGTGGCCATGCTTTATGTGGATGTCTTTACAGTGGGAGTGGGCTGGGAGTTCAGCTGCACTGGCCACTGATACCAAGCCTGGTCCTGTGGTTAGCCCAGGCCATTAGAGGCATTTTCCGTAGACCTCTGTGTACGGTAATTAGCCACAACAGCAGTAGGGAGTTCAGTGCTTCCAAGATTCATGGGCTTATGGTTAGTGTGCATTTTGGCGAAAACATTGGCCGCACATCAAACCAGGGTCTGTCCAGTTCTGAATGTATTGCATAGTGTCAATCAGAGTTTTACCCACATGGTCTTATCTGTAAATCACCAACCTCGCCCTCACTTCCGAAACCTGAGCACATAATTCAGGACTACATACTTATTTAGATGCAATATATATCCTGCAACCAACATTGTTTAAAAAAAAAAGCATTGGAACCATTATCGCATTACTGCTTGATGGAGCTTGCTTTCCTATAAATGCGAGTGCTTTCTTTTTTTTTTAATGCCAGCCCCTTTTTCAGACAGCTGTGACCTGCATACAGGAAATAAGTGACCAGGTGATGTATTTTTGGGAAACCAGTGAGAATGCAGTAGTTATTCTTATAGTTCCTAATGAAGGAGGTCTCTCCTCTAACGCCTGCTGCAGTGAAGTACTTTGCTGTTCCTAGATAGCCCACTAGATGGTAGTGTATACTCAGTAATTGGATCGCTGCACACACTCATTTGGGATCTGGAGATTAAATCTACCATCTGCTGATGTGTGCTGTGAGTCATTGTTTACTCCCTACCCCCTCCAATTCTGACCCATGACGCTGCCCCCTTTCACTGGTGTTTGCTGTGAATGGACTTGCTGTCAGGCCTCCATTGACATGCCACTCGGCACAGTGACAATGGGCTTGAGTTAATTCAGAACCCAGTTTTGATTTCTGTTCTCACTTCCAGTCTTGTTCTTTATTCTCTGTGTAAGGAATCCAGATCCCGTCCTACTGCAGCACATAGTCTCCCAGTTACTGACGCCAGATATAGCTGCTCAGAGTTTAAAAACAGGAAATGCTCAGCAGGTCTGGCCGCTTCTGTGGAGAGAGAAACCGAGTTAATGTTTCAGGTCAGTGACCTATCGTCAGTGTCTCCAAGAAAGGAGAGCGGTGTGTCTGTCAGTGAATGCCGACAGCCAAATGATATTATCCTCCAAATAACTCGGAACATCACCTTCAATCTAAAACGTATCTAATTTACTTTACACAATCTCCAGATCTCCCGTGCACTCTCACCCAATAGAATCACTGCCATGATGTAGGAAAAATGGCAACCAATTTAACACCAGCAAGTTTCCACATTGTACAGCACTGACCGGAGAGAGCCTGATGTTGGTTAAATGATAAGTATTGACCAGGAGAGCACTTCTGATAGGAACCATGAGATTGTCCCTGTCCCTCTGAGAGGACAGACAGGACCCTCTGAGCTCAGTGAGCAGCGCCCGCTCAGTGCGGACCCATCATCTCCCAGTTTCACGTGTGAGTCACGTATACTGTGTTGCTGAACCACTGACAAAAGTGATAACCTAGCAGCTGCTATTTCAGTTACTGCCATCCTTCACTGTGCCAGGAGCATCTGGAGAGGGGGGTATGGGACACCCATTGGTGTGAAGTGTGAAGCTTTCCATGAGGATTGGGCACCTCCAAGATGACAGCCCCACAGTAATCGCTTGGTTTAGTTTCATTCTGTTGAGTGTTTACATTGTGCTTCAGTTAAATTGGGTTTTCTGATTGACAGATGTGTTATCTATAGGGATGGCTTGAGACAAGGCAGCTCCTTCCTGCTGTGAGACGATTGCATTCAGAGTTCCTCCGTCTCCTCCTCCTGCTGCTGTTCTGTGACCTGCTGGGAGCTGTATACAGTGCAATGTTTTCATGTCTTTTCCCTCCCACTGGGGAAGTACCCAGGCTTCAGTCTGTACTGAAACCTCTTGAGCTCTGTCCCCCACTGCCATGTGAGGTCCCCTGTTGGGGTGCTGGCTTCTTGCAGGGAATCACACTGTTGCGTCGGTGTGAAAATTGTTTGGTTCCTTCAGCCAGAGGGTCCATAACTTCCGTGTCACTGAACTGAGGTAAATGTGTGAATCTGTGTGGTGTGTGTGAGAGAGGGAGCCAACTCAGCTGAGTGTGCACGTGTTGGATTAGTCTCTGCTGTGATGCAGTCCACAGTCAAATAGCCTGTGAAGGTTTCAGGGCCTGCAGCCAGTGGCACCGACTGATGATTTGCATAGAAATCGAGAGGGCAGATTGGAGCATTCAAGTGCAAAGTAAATAAAGTTTCATCAGAGATATCTTTGTACCCTTTTGTGTGAAACCAGGGTGCTTGATTTATTCTATCTCCCATTCTGTCACAGGCCATGAAGCTGCCTTTGCTGCTTTCCTGTGCTGTCTCTGTAAGATTGGAGTCCTGAAGGTGGATGACCAGCTTGCTATTGTTTTTTGTATATTTGATCGGTGAGTGCTGTCTTCCTCCTTGTTCGCTTCACTTTGGATTGGATTACACTATGGAGTTGACTCCACTGTAGCCCAACAGGGTTAAGGCTCCAGCCTCTGATGGCTGCAACAAAAACTTGCATTTGTAGAGCACCTTTAACATCGCAAAACGTCCCAAGACATCTCACAAGAAAGTCAATCAGACAAAATTTGACACTGAGCCACAGAAGATTTAGTTCAAAGCTTGTTCAGGTAGAGATTTTAAGGAGGATGGCGATGTGAAGAGGTTTAGGGAAGGAATTCCAGACTTCAGGATCCAGGCTCAGCTTATTAAGAGTCTCAAAACTGGAAACTGAAGGCACAATAAGATTGACCCCAATCGGGTGATGGAGAAGGGAATTCTGCCTGGTCTGAGTACAGTAAAGGGATGCATTTGGGATTAAGGGGGTTCCATTTTAACCATGAGTTTTTAACAACTTTAAGCATGGTTATATGTAAATAGTTTAGTTTATTCTATTTTGTCTTCCTTTCTTTTGCCAAATAAACTTCTGACCTATTGTTAAAATCAAATCGACAACATTGTGAGCTTGTGATCCAGTGAGAAACCACCACGTTAAAACCAGGAGAAAGAAACAAACTCTGATCTATCAAGCCAGGTTTCAGGGTGGGATCAGATTTATCTGGCAATATCGTCAGCTTTGATCATCAGAGCACAAGAGGGGAGAAGGATAGAAGCACGTGCTGTAAGGCTGGGATGCAGATGTGGTCAGAGGAGTCTTCTGTGAAGATGGTGGTATAGTGGTAATGTGACAGGGGTTAGTAATCCAGAGGTCCAGGCTAAAGATCTAGGAATAATCCTGCCATGCCAGTTAGTGAAATTTAAATTCATAAAACTCTGGAATAGAAAGTTAGTCTCATAATTTTGGTAATCATCAACTGTTGTAGAAGTCCGTCAGTTTCACTAATGTCCTTCAGATAATGTCCTTCCGAGAAGACCATTAGATATAGGAGTAGAAGAAGGCCATTTAGCCCATAGAGTCTGCAGTGCCATTCAATGTGATCATGTCTGATCCAATTAAGTCCCCTAAGAATCTTGTATGTTTCAATAAGGTCTCCTCTCATTCTTCTAAACTCCAATGAGTTTGACCCAATCCTCTCCTTTATAAGACAGTCCCACTATACTGGACAGAAATCTGGCAAAGTCTTGGATAATGGGACCAAAACTGTTCACAGTATTCCAGCTGTAGTCATGAGTAGTGCCTTGTATAGTTTTGTACTGTCTTTGAAATAAAAGACAACATTCCATTTGCCTTCCCTATTCTCTGCTGAACTTGGATATGATTTTCAGGGGCAAGGAACCTCTACAGCTTTCTGCAGTCTTTCCCCGTTTAAATAATAAACAGCTCCTCTATTGTTCCACGTTATAATGCATCTGTTAAATTTTTGCCTGCTTCCTTAACCTGTCTATATCCCTCTGCAGACTCCTTGTGTCGTCCTCACTACTTACCTTGCCACCTGTTTTTGTCATCTGCAAACTTGGCGATTATGCATTCACTTCCCTCATCTCCCAGCTCTGATCCCTGTGGCAGTCCAACAGCTATTGGGTGCCATCCTCAAAATGACCCCCAATCCCAAATTTCTCTTCTGTTAGTTAGCCAATCCTCTATCGATGCTGATGGATATTTGAATCAACGCACTTAGAAATGTCAGGACACACTTCTGGGGCAGCTGGGCTTTGAACCTGTATCTTCTCCGGCAGACGTAAAGACCCACTGCACTTCAGGGCCACTATCCGCACTAACACACTACTCCCAGCACCATGGTCTCTTCTATTAAATGGCCTAAGGTGTGGTATCTTATTGAAGCCTTTTGGAATTCCAAGTACATTACATCTGCTGATCCCCCTTTGTCTATCCTGCTTGTTCCCTCCTCAAAGAATTGTCATAAATCCATCAGGCATGATTTCCCCTTCAGGGAGCCATGCTGACTCTGCTTCACAATATAGATTTCCAAATGCTCTGCTATTCCATCTTTTTGTAATAAACTGTAACATTTTCCTCGTGACAGAAGTGAAGGTAACTGGTCTACAGTTACCTCCCTTTTTGAATAAGTGTATTATGTTGCTAGTTTTCCAATCACCCGAGTCTTTCCTGGATCTAAGGATTCTTGGAAGATTACTACCAGTGAATCCGCTATCTTTGTAGCTCCTTCCTTTAGCACTTTAGGATGCATCCCATCAGGTCCAGGGGACTTATCAGCCTTTAACCCCCATTAGTTTCCCTTGTACTTTTTCTCTAACGATAGTTTTTTGTGTTTATTTTCTCCCTACTTTACTCCACAATTATTTAGTAACTTTGGAATGTTGTTAGTGTCTTCTATCGTGAAACCTTATGCAAAGTGTTTATTCAACTCTTCAAATTTCCTGATTCCTCATTAATATTTCTCTAGCCTCAATCTCTAAGAGGCCTATGTTTGTTTTAGTTCATTCTTTTTATGCATATTTAAAGGAGCTCTTACTGTCTTCTTTTATATTACTTGGTAGTTTACCCGCACGGTTTATTTCCTCCCTGATTATAATTTTTAGTCATCTTTGTTTGATTTTTAAAACTTGCCCAGTCCTCAGGCTTACCATTAATCTTTGCCACATTGTGCGTTTTCTTTATTTCAAATTGATGCTATCTTTAACTTGCTTGGTTAACTATGATGAGTTTGTTCTCTCCTGAGAATCCTTCTTCCTCCTTGGGATATATCCTTGTTGTGAGTCATAAACTATATCTCTTAAACATCTGAGATACTGTTCCTCAACTGTTTCTGCTTTTAAGTTCCTTTCCCATTTAACTCCAGCCAGCTCTGCCCTCATTCCTTTATAATTACCCATGTTCAAGTTTAGCGCTATTGGTTCTAGGCCAAGTTTCTCACTCTCAAACTGAAATCAAAATTCTACAATGTTATGGCCACTGTTTTCCAGGGTATCTTTTACTTTGTGAGATAATTTATTAAAATTGCCTCATTTCCGATTACCAGATCTGAACCTGGTTGGATCCACAACATATTGTAGACCACTTCCATCAGTGTCTTCCCTTAACTGCACCCATGCAGATTCCATGTCTTCTGATCAAAGATCATCTCTGGCTGTTGTACTCCTTCAGTCTCACACTAACAAAGCTGCCCCAAAACCCTTTCCTACCTGACTTTCCTTTTGAAAAGTCTAAATGTTTAGTTCCTAGCTTTGATCTTCTTGTTTCTATAATGGCAATAAGATTGTACTCATTACCTGTATTTGTGTCATTCATTCATTTATTTTGTTTCAAATACCAATTGCAAAAAGCCACTAATTTTAACGACTTGCCATTATTTTCCTCATTCGATCCTATTTGTTGCTTTTTTTTTTGTGTGACAATACACTTTGCCTCTTTCTGTCCCACTCTGGGTATTATAAGTAGCTCTCCTGTAATATTGCCATGTCTGAGATAACAAGGTGTAGAGCTGGATGAACACAGCAGGCCAAGCCTAGATCCTTCTTCAGAAATCTTCAGAAATCTTCAGAAATATTGCCATGTCTGTTTACTTTCTAAGATGATGCATCCTCTTCCCCAGAACAACCCCACCGCACCCCGAATAGTTTAGAGACATCTCTACAGCCCTAGTTATTCCATTTGCCAGGACACTGATCCCAAAAATGGTTGAAGTGACTCTTAACTGCCCTCAGAAATGGCCCAGTAAGCTCCTTTGTTAAAGGGCAATTAGGGACAGGTACCAAATAATGTCAGTGATGTCCATATGCCATAAGAGAATAGAGAGACCGATTCAGAGCAGCAGTAAGGTCTGTCATCCCAGCAAACATAGAGTCTGAAAACAAGCTTGCTTTGATTTATTATTGTCACATGTCCCAAGATACAGTGGAAAGTATTAGTTTGCATTCTAACCAGGCAAATCCTATCTTACGTAAGTACATCAGGGTAATAGAACAGAATGCAGATTATAGTGTTACAGCTACAGAGAAAAATGCCAAGAAAGATCAACTCTAATATGAGAGGTGCGTTTATAAATCTAGAAACAGCGGGGCAGAAGCTGTTCTTGAATCTGTTGCTACATGTTTTCAAACTCCTGTTTGATGGAGGAGGGTAGAAGAGATTATAACCGGGGGGTGGGAGGGTCTGTGATGTTGATTGCTTTCCTGAGGCAGTGGGAAGTGTAGATGGAGTCGGTGGTTTGTGTGATGGACTGGGCTGTGTTCACAACTCTCTAATTTCTCACAGTCCTGGGCAGAGCAGTTGGGATGCATCTGGGTAGGTTATGATGAACATGCAGAATTTCCTGCAGCTGCTGGGAATTGCAGATAAATATAAACCAAGGCTGCTGGAAATACTCAGAGTCAGGCAGTGTCTGTGGAGAGTAAAGCAGAGTCAGTGTTTCAGCCCTGTGACCTTGCTTCTGAAGAGAGGTCTGAAGCCTTTGTCTCCTTCAAACCCACAGGTACCTGCAGGTGATGCGCAAGTTGCAGAAAACGTATCGAATGGAGCCAGCAGGGAGCCAGGGAGTCTGGGGCCTCGATGACTTTCAGTTCCTTCCCTTCATCTGGGGCAGTTCCCAATTAATCGGTAAAATGTTGTCATCGCTTCTTTCTCCTTTGTAGCCACTCCACCCGTTCCTGATAGGGCTGGACCATTGCACCCTCCTGTTGTGCTCCAGCTCGGCGGGGAGTGCAGCAGTAATGTTACTGAATCAATAATCCAAAGGTCCAGACTAATACTCCAGAGGCACACGTGGAAATCCCCCCCAAGTGGCAGCTTGGACGATTTCAATTTAATTAATGAATAAAAATCTAGTCTCACTAATCACCAACTCACCAGATTGTTGTAAAAGCCCCCATCTGCTTCACTGCTGCCCTTCAGATGGGACAATTGACTACTCTTCCCCAGTCTGGACTATACAAGTCCACACTCTCAGCAATGTGGTTAATTTCTAACTGCCGCCTGAAATAGGGGAGCTGGTGGCCTAGTCGTATTATCTTTGGACTATTAATCCAGAGACCCAGGCAATATTCTGGGGACCTGGGCTTAAATCCCGCCACAGTAGATGAAGGAATTTGAATTCAGTAATAATCTGGAATTAAGAATCTAATGATGACTGAGTCCGTTGTTGGTCGTTGGAAAAACTCATCTGATTCACTAATGTCCTTTAGGGAAGGAAATCTGCCATCCTCACCTGGTCTGGCCTACATGTGACTCCAGACCCACAGCAATGTGGTTGACTCTTAATTGTCCTCTGGATGGACAATAAATGCTGGCCATAGATGAATTATTAAGAAAATGGCCTGGCAAGCTTATCAGTTCGAATGCAGCTCACCACCACCTTCTGTAGAGCTATTAGGGCAACACAACAAATGTTGATCTCGCCAGTGATGCCCACATCCAGAGAACTAAGAGTTGTTCTGTCTGGGGTAAGTGCATTCAGTTTAGGGCACTGCATTTTAAGGAGGATGTCTTAAACAGAACAGATTCACATCCTGGTACTGGAGCTAAAAGGGCTCAGTTATGATTTAAAGTGGTTGTATGTTGAACTTGTATTCATTTAGATATTGGAGATGAAGGTTGGGGATCTAGTTTATGTTTAAAATGATTAACAACTTGGGGCAGCTGAAGAGAAACATTTTCTTTAGTACAGTGAGTCACAACAAGGGGACGTTTTCTGGTCGACAGGATATAACAAGTGAAATGCCAAAGAGATCAGCGCTGGGGCCTCACTGTTTTAGAGTTTATATAAATGACTTGAAGGGACTGAAGATGTGATTGCTAAATTTTCTGAGGATGCAAAGATAAGTAGGAATGTAAGTTGTGAAGAGGACATAAGGAGACAACAAAGGAATTTAGACAAATTAGGTAGTGGGCAAAGATATGACAGGTGGAGCATAATATAAGGGTAGAGTGGAGGGGATATGGAAATGGTGAAATTGACTATTATTGCAGGAATAACAATAGGGAAGCACATTACCTAAGTGGTGAGAGATTGCAGAGACCTGAGACGCAGAGGGATCTAGGTGTCCTTGTGTATGAATCGCAAAATGTTAGTGCAGATACAGCAAGTAATTAGGAAAGCTAGTAACACGTTATCGTTTATTACAAAAGGGATTGAATACAAAAGTAACAATGTTGTACTTCAGTTATACAGGGCATTGGTACAGACCACATCTGGAGTACTGTGTACAGTATTGGTCGCCTTATCTAAGGGAGAATTTAAATACTTTGGAAACAGAAGGTTTTCTGGACTAGTGCCTGGAATGGGCAGGTGGTTCTATGAGGAAGGGTTGGACAGAATATGCTTGGTGTTTAGAAGTGCAGGAGATGACATGATTGAAACAAGAATTTAGAATGAGCGGTCACAGTTTAAGATGTCACCCTTTTAAAACAGGGAATTGGCAGAACTTGTTTCTGGGAGGGTGGCAGGGGTCATGAATCTTTAGAAAATTTCTTCAAGTGGTGGTGGAAACAGAGTCTGAGTATTTTGAGGCCAGAGGTGGGTAAGTTCTTAATGAGCAGAGGTTGGCCATTCAGCCCATCGAGTCTGCTCGGCCATTTAATAAAATCGTGGCCAATCTGATAATCCTCAACTCCACTTTCCTGCCTTTTCCCCATAATTCCCGATTCTATTCCTGGTTAAATATCTATCTCAGCCTTGAAAACACATAATAATGCAGTCTCTACAACCCTGTTTGGTAAAGAATTCCACAGGCACACTCCCCTCTGAGAGAAGACATTCTTCCTCATCGCTGCCTTAAAAGGACAACCTTTTATTTTGAGATGATGCCCTCATCCCAGAAGGGGAAACAACCTTTCTGCATCTGCCTTGTTAAGTCCCCTCGTACGTTTCAATGAGGTTACCTCGCATTCATCTAAACTGCACTGAGCGATAGGGCAGACTGGAAGATAGAGTGGTCAGTTCGGCAATGATCTTACTGAACAGCAGAGTAGGCCTGAGGAGCCGATGGTCTATTCCTGCTCCTGTTTCACATTCGTCTGCAAGAACTAATTCGTGGAACACGTTTGAAGGGCTGAATGATCTTTTTTCATTCCTGGGAAACATCTTTAATTCTGTTTTTGCCCCAGTTTGTTCTACATTTTATTGGAACCTATGAACAGGAGGAGGCCATTCAGCCCCTGAGCCTATCCCACCAATTCAGTGAGATCATGGCTGATCTGTGGCCTAACTCCATTTACCTGCCTTTGGCCCAGATCCCTTAATACCTTCGCTTCAACAAAAATGTATCTACCTCAGATTTAAACTTAACAACTGATCCAGCTTGCACTGCCGTTTGTGGAAGAGAGTTCCAAACCTCTACCACCCTTTGTGTGTCGAAGTGCTTCCTAACATCTCCTGAACAGTCTGGCCCTAATTCTCAGACTATGCTCCTAGTTCTAGAATCCCCAACCAGTGGAAATAGTTTATTTTTATCTACCCTGTCTTTTCCTGTTAATATCTTGGAGAGTTTGATCAGATCACCCCTTAACCTCCTAAATTCTAGAGAAATCAGGCCTAATTTGTATAATCTCTCCTCATAGGTTAACCTCTGAAGACCGTGTATCAATCCTGTAAACCTATGTTGTACTCCCTTCAAGGTCAATCCATCCTTCCTAAGATGTGGTGCCCCAATCTGCTCTCAGTACTCCTAGCGGGGCCTAACCCGGGTTTTGTATAACTGCAGCATAACTCCTGCATTCTTGTACTCCAGCCTTCCAGATATAAAGACCAGCATTCCATTAACATTCTTGATTATTTTGTGCACAGAGACAAATTAGTTTCTCAACAACACCGCTCCCCCCACCCCGAAGTCTTTATGAAAGCAGACCAGAGAGGCTGGCAGTCACAGAGACTTATATCAATTCACACACTAACGTCTGGATCTGGAATCATTGGAAATGTTATTCTCCACTTCCTATGGTTTGTTTTTTTGTTTTTCCCCTTGCCCAACATTTTGCTGCTACAGATGTGCCTGTACCATCCTGTTAGCATCTGCTGCTCCCTGTCAGCACAATCCTTCAACAGGCACAAAAGGCTTCTGTAACATGGTCATGACCTTGTGCTGATAATCAGAACACGTCCTTCCATTCTGGGCTGAGAGACTGGGATTGATCTCCTTGGAGCAGAGAAGGTTATGGGGACTTCTTGTTGAGGTCTTCAAAGTCCTGAGGGGTTTTGATGAGAGTAAAGGAGGAGAAGCTGTTCAGGTGGCAGGACCATCATTACCAGAAGACACAGGTTCAAGGTAATAGGGAAAAGGAGGAGCTGAGGATACTTTTTCAGGCAGTGAGTTGTTGTGACCTGGAACACGCTGTCAGAAAGGGCCGTGGAAGGAGATTCATTGAAAACTCCTAAAAAAGAATTGGAGATTTATTTGAGAAGGAGAAAGAATTTCAGGGCTGTGGGACTATTTTAGTACTTTTTGCGGAACTCTGCTTAAGTTGCAGTAGAAGTTGATCAAGAGTTACTGTGCCTGATCGTAATCTGTTTCAGCCCAGGGGACATGTGGGTGAATATGTTCCTGCCCCCACTATCTGAGCCATTGTTTCTGGCATCTTTGTAATAGAGTCATCGCCTCCTTCCTGAAGTATGAGGGTCTCCTTTCCTGTGTGAGCTATAACTTAATTTAGGACACTGTGACTTCTGATCAGCCTCCACTGCGGAGACCTGAGCCCACCAATCAAGCATGACACTCCCCGTGCGGTACTGAAGGAGTTCTGCACGGTCCAAGGTGCCATCTCTCTGATAAGACTTTGATCTGAAGGCCATGGTGGTCCATCTCCCTTCTCAGGTGCAATAAAAATTCGCACAATGTCAAAGGAGAGCAGGAGAGTTCTCCCCAGTGTCCTGTTCACTATTTACCCCTGTTAGCATCCCACAACAAAATAAATCAGGTCATTGCTGCTCGTGGGAGCTTGCTGTGCACAAATTGACTGCAGCGTTTCCCACATGACAATAAGAACTGCATTTGATTGGTTGGAAAGTGTTTGAGTGTTCTGAGGTTGGGAGGAGTGAGCTATATACAAATCTCAGCACTTCTCTAGGCACCAGTATAGCCTCTCCTCATAACACATTCGATCAGTTAACTAAGTTGGCTGGATGGCTGGTTTCCGATGCAGAGTGGCACTAACAGCGTGGGTTCAATTCCTGCATCAGCTGAGGTTACTATGGAGGACCCTCCTCCTCAGCCTTTCCCCTCATCTGAGGGATGGTGACCCCCAGGTTAAACCACCACCAGTTGCCTCTCTCTGTCTCCCTGAGAGGGCAGCCCTCTGGTCCAGGGGGACTATATTTACTTGACTTATCCTCCCATCACCTCATGTAGTTCAGACTCCTATTTTGACATTCAGCCAATCCCTTTATAAAGGTGGCCAGAATCTGGCTGGACAGTGATGTCCATCACAGTGGTCAAACAAATTGTGGTTTCAATCAGAAAGGTACTGCCCCTCAGCTGAGGGGGTCCATCTGAGGGTCCAGAGGTGTGTTTGAATCATCATCTTCTCTCTTTCAGATCATCCCACCCTTACACCAGCCCATTTTGTGGATGAGAAGGTGGTGAATGAGCACCATAAGGATTACATGTTTCTGGAATGTGTCAGGTTTATTAATGAGGTGAGAGGAGCTGTATCCCACGGTCAGCGTGACTGAGCTACTGCTTAGGGAGGGGAGCTGTGGGCCCACCGAATCCAGTCACTGTCTATCTCTAACCGTCCTCTCAAAGCTTGGGAAAATCACAACTGCCTGTCGGACCGTGGGGCTGGTTAAAACACCGTGTGCTCCCAGTGCGACCCAGAAAACATTCGTCCCAGTCAAGCTGCAGGCATATGGAGTGTGAGAGCCTGGGCTTAAAACAGTGATTCCCCTGCCCAGCTGCCCATCCTCGGAGTGCATCCACAGCTCTTTGAAAATCTCCCCCAGCCCTCAATCCCTCCCCGGGCCCGGTCCTCCTCAGCCACCTTGGCTTGGTGTGAAAATCCCATGGAGCTATGTTGAAGGGGAGCAAGGGAGCACTGTCTGGTGTTCTGGCCAATATTTAATAATTTTTCTAACTGATATCCTATTGAGGTTTGTGAGGTCTTGCTGTTTGCAAATACAGCAGGCTTACTTCCTGTATTGCCCCTGTGATCGCACTTCAGGAAGTACCTCATGGTCTTTAAGGACACTCTGGGACATCCTGAGTTTGTGAAAGTTAGTACAGTGTCATCTGCGACTCTTCCTGTGGTCGGGAAATGTGGAATTTCTGACATTTATGCCCATTTTGTGATTCCTGATCCAAAATGGTGGCAGATGTCACAGGGCACTACCCCCAGCTATATTGGCTAGCATGGTGAACTACACGGAAGGCTAGCTTCCTCAGGAGCCTGTTATAATCCAGAGCAGAAGTTTACCCCTTATTCCCGAGTACCCCTTCCAGGGCTGCTAACCTGCTGAGTCCCAAACCACTGTTTAATCAACCCATTGTCACCAAAACAGGAGCCTCCTATCAACAGCACCCCCCATCTCCCAGCCAGGATACAGGAGTTTTCCTCATCTCCATATCCTTTAGAGCCTGGCATCGTGGAACTCGACATCACCACCCCCCCATCTCCCAGCCAGGATACAGGAGTTTTCCTCGTCTCCGTCTCCTCCAGAGCCCAGCAACGTGGAACTCAACACCAGGACCCACCCTTCTCAAACATTCAACTCCCTCAACCCAGCCAGAACCTGCGCAGTGGTGGTGCAGAGTTAATGTCACTGGATAAATAGTCCCAAAGCCAAAGCTAATGTTCTGCTGACATAGGTTCGAATCTCACTCTGGTAGATGATGAAATGTCAATTTAGTAAACATCTGGAACTTAAAAAGATTCCTAAAGCCTTCTAGGGAAGGAAATCTGCCATTCTTATTGGTCTGGCCCGTATGTGACTCCAGGCCCATAGCCAATGTGGTTGACTGTTAACTGACCTCAGGGCAATAAATGCTGGCTGAGCCAGTGATGCTCACATCCTGTGAATGAGTATAAAAACTGCTAGGTGCAGGGCATGGAGCTAAGGCCTGAGCTGACCCCAACGAATAAGCCAGGGCTGATGCACCATGCCCACGAAGCCCTGCAGCTTCTTTCCCTTCACTGAGGTGGGTCATTATGAGATGCAGCAGCACATAGGGAGCAGTGAATGTTTACCTGTGGATGAGCATGTGCTTGTACATTTACATGTGTTTAATAGCACTGCCTGTTGATGAACAATGTGGCCAAGGACTCTCAGTATCTCATGGTGTGCTGCTGTGTGAACTCCGAGGGACATAATTCCATTGCTGACTGTATGTATCTCATCCTGCTTGCCAGGTATCTGGTCTGTAGAGTGTGCTGCATTTTACCAAACCCCCGACTGCCTTGCTGTTGGACATCACAACAGGATAGCAAGGGACCTGGGTTCGATCCAACCCTTGGGCGATTGTCTGTGTGGAGTTTGCACGTTCTCCCTGTGTCTGCACGGGTTTCCTCTGGGTGCTCTTATTTCCTCACACAGCCCAAAGGTGTGCCATGCTAAATTGCCCATGGTGTCCAGGGATGTGTAGATTAGGTGCATTAGCAACGGGAATTGCAGGGTTACAGGGATAGGGAAGGGGGATAGGACTGGATGGGATTCTCTTCGGAGGCGCGGTATAGACTTGTTGAGCCGAATGGCCTGCTTCCGCACCGTGGGGATTCTGTGATTCTATGATAACTGTTTCACAATGCCAGGTGTTTCTGCTTTCAGTGTCCAAGGGGTAACTTAGAGCTTACAGCAGAGGGACAAGCTGATCCTTGTCCCACACCCACTTCACTTTTATTCTGCCTGCATTTCCTTCTATTCCTGTCTTTCTCAAGAGAGAGTTCCTCTTTGTAAAGGAATCAATATGATTGCCCTCAACCACTCTCCATGTGAGCAAATTCCACATTCTCCCTACTGTCTGCCCTGATAAAGTTCCTCCTGGATTCCTGATTGGATTTATTTGTGACTGTTTGATATTGACAGCCCCTAGTTTTTATCTTTGCAGCAATTGGAAACATCTTCTCTACATCTGGCCTATAAGGTTACCCCTCAGCCCTCTATTTTCCAGAAAGCCTCAGCTTGTTCAGTATAGGCTGTTTTTGGGGTGCCCACTTCCTGTAGTATAAGAGCTCAGGAGATTTCACAGCTTTCAAAAGAGTCATGGTGGAAATCAAGAATGAACTAAATTGTTTCCATACAATTCCTGACATATTGGTTGAAGTTATGATAGAGTCATAGAGATGTACTGCACGGAAACAGACCCTTCGGTCCAACTGGTCCATGCCGACCAGATATCTAATTAAATCTAATCCCATTGCCAGCATTTGGCCCATATCCCTGAACACCCCTCCCATTCATGTACCCATCCAGATGCAGATCCATTGGCCCGTGAGTAGGTTGTTGTGATCTCCTTAAGGGCAGATTCTGTGCTAATTTCTCCATTCCTTGCAGTCTTGTTCTGTTCTCTTCAGTTGTTCGTAGGATTCTCCCATTTCTCATTTCAAGTTGTTTGACGTCATCATTTTCTTCTCTGTTTAGTTTTATAAATTAAGGAGTGAGTGCCACCTATTGGAGGGACAGTGCTGAACTGTCAAAGATTCATACAGTATAGGAACAGACCCTTTGGCCCAACTTGTTCATGCCAACCAAGTTTCCCAAACTAGTGTGGTCCCATTTGCCTGCATTTGGCCCATATCCCTCTAAACCTTTCCTATTCATGTACTTATCCAAATGTCTTTAAAATGCTGTAACTGTACCTGCATCCACCACTTCCTCTGCCAGCTCATTCCACACACAAACCACCCTCTGGCGTGTGAAAGTTGCCCGCCCAGGTCCCTTTTAAATCTTTCTCCTCCCACCTTAAAAATATGGCCCCTAGTTTTGAAATCCCCACCCCTAGGGAAAACACCTTTGTTATTCTATCTGTGTCCCTCATGATGTTATAAACTTCTATGAGGTCACCTCTCAACCTCCTACGCTCCAGGGAAAAATGTCTCAGCCTATCCAGCCTCTCCTTATAACTGAAACCCTGCAATCCCAGTAGCATCCTTGTAAATCTTTTCTGCAACTTCTCCAATTTAATATTACTGTTTCTACAGTAGGGCAGATGGAGTTTAATTTGTATAAATGCGAGGTGTTGCATTTTGGTAAGACAAACAAGGGCAGGACTTACGCAGGACTTAATGATAATGTCCTGGGAAGTGTTGTTGAACAGAGAGATCTAGGGGTTCAGGTACATAGTTCCCTGAAAGTGGCGTCAAAGGTAGATAAGGTGATGAAGTAGGCATTGGCGCGCTTGACTTCAATGGTCAGAACATGTTACGCCAAGGGTCGGCGCCGTGGGACCTATTGGATGTTCCTTTTCCGTATGAAATTCCAGAACGAGCCGTGAGGTGCCCACTTGGACAGACATAAAGGGCCATTTCAGCATTTTGACGAGTCAAGAAATTCTCCCTAGTGTTTTAGACAGAATTCCTACAGTGTGGAAACAGGCCCTTAGGCCCAACACCGACCCTCAGAGCATCCCACCCCAACCCCAACCCCGACGGTCAATATGGCCAATGTTTATTTATTCCTCAGCTACGTTCTCTCAAACTGATTATCTGGTTGTTAAAATTTGCTTGTGGGATCCTGCTGTGCTCAAATTGACTGCTAAGTTTTCTACTTTAAGATGGTGATATTTCATTGGCTGTAAAGTGCTCTCCCCCTCTGTCTCCATGTCAGGAATCTCTCGAAGCTGTGAATCCTTCTGAGATCAGTGTATCCACTCTGTTAATCAGTTAGGTGGAGCAGTTACACATTGCAGGCAGGGGCGACAGACCATCTCATTCTCCCTCAACCTCCCACTCTTCATTTCCCAGAAATATTCAGCTAATCTCAAAGCAACAGGGGAGGGAGAAACCACCTCCCCTTCTATTCTTGCTTTCTGTTGTTTAACAGATGCTGGATGATGTAATGAGTTGTTTTGACTGCTTCACAGAAACAGGCCATTCAGCCCAACAGGCATGTACTAGCACCCTGGGTAGATTTCATCTATCTCCTGTTCATCTCATACCGTTAGCGTGTCCTCCTATTCCTCTCCTTGTGTGTTAATGCAGCTTCTCCTTAAATTCATTTAAATTATTCACTTCATCCACCCACCGTGGTGGTGAATATCATATTTTGGACACTCTGAGAGCCGAATTTTCCCATCTTCTTTCAATGTTTGAGGGTTAGCAAGTTATATGATAACTAACACGTAATCTGCACTAGTAGGGTAACTAGTCCGGTGACAGAACAGTCTGTGTATTTAAACGCTTATGATGGGCCTCACTACTGTCAGCCCAGATTGTCCCTGAACTGGGGGAGTCCAGTGGTGAATAGTTTTGACCCTTTCCTCATGGGAGTGGGGTTGGCAGGGAGAGGGGAGGCAAGAGGTGGGGGTGGGGTGGGTTGGCTTTCGGAGGCCAAGGCATTGCCTGCCATCTGTTCCTGTAACTCTGGGGCCACCTCCATCAAACCTGGCAGGCACGTTACCCTGGCTACCCAGTCAGGAAACACCTTTCTCACGCACCGAGGAGTTGGGTAACTGGGGCGGGTAGTAACTTTGAGTTCCTCACTGGCTGTTAATTGACCTCTTTAGGGCCTGAGTTGCTGGCGAGTTAAGAAATGAACCACATTTGACTACGGAGATGGTTGGAAGGGGAAACCGTGGCGTGACTCGGCACTTGTAGTGAAGCTTAGGTCCCTCCTTCACCACCTCCACAGAGGGGAGAATTGAACCCTGTTTGTCTGTTCTATTGAAGCTCTTCATAATCGAGTCATACAGCACAAAAGAGGCCCTTTGACCCATCGAGTCTGTGCTGACCTGTCTACACTAAATCCTACTTTCTAGCACTTGGCCCAAAGCCTTGTTATGACATTTCAAGTGCTCATTCATGTCCTTGTTAAAGATATTGAGGTTTCCTGTCTGCACTATCCTTCCAGGCAGTGCTTTCCAGACTTGAAGGTCTTCATCAGGGCACCTCTTAGTCTTTTTTTTTCTGTTCATCCTTTTCTGATTGTTATAAACCTTTTGCTTCTTGTATGATTCTTGTAGATCTTTATGTTTGCGCCTTCTCTTGTGCTCCTGAATTCAATTTTTTAAAATTCATTTTGACAGATCGGTGGTCAGTGCTCAAAATATTGTCCAACCCAAGTCCATGCAGATTTTCAAAGACTGGTTTAGAACCCACTGTCTGATGCACCAAACTGAAAGGTTGTCGGATATACAGTAAGACCCTATTAATGTTCCAGCAAGTTTATTTGTTAGGTGGGAGTGGGGGAAGAGACAGGAACAGAGTGTTGAGGATTCTGAGCTTGGCACGCAAAGAGTTACAGCTTGTTTGAGAGTGGGAGGAAGAACAAGGCAGCTCAGATTTCAGTTAAATGACAGAGGAAGCTTACACAGGAAGAAGGAAGCTAGAGGCCCCTTAGCTGCCAGAGAAATAGTTTAAAAGGGTCAGTTCCCCTGGGGGAGTGGGGGTGGGGGGGGTTACTGTGAAGCATGAAAGCAGTCACTGAGTAATTTCCTAACTAAGATGGCTGCAATGACTCAGATTCCCTGAGGACCACCTCCTCCAGCCGAGATGTTTGCCTAGAACCCAAAATAGCTTCGCTTCGCTTTTTCCAGAAATCCACTTTCTCATGTGAAGTGCTGAAGAAGAAAATGTACAGCTGCTTGCTAAAGCGACACAGTGCTAAAGTTTCCCTGCTCAGACTCCTCTTTCTGCATTTTATTTGCTTCTTTGTTGGAAGCCGAGTCTGGACAGGAATCTTTTTATAACTCTCAAAGCACCACTTTCTGCTTCTGCTGGTGTCTGTTGCTCCAGTCCTGTAATACTTTGCTTTGTCTTTATATTGATTCAAAATGAGAAGAAGGTCAGATGATTTGCAATCACTTTTCAATCACTGTGGAACGGGGTTAAGGAAGAATGGGTGCAAAGCAGGATCCCATGAACATCCATCCAATCTCGAGCACTCTCTCTCAATTGCCGACTGGCTCTGTTGGGCCAAAGGTGCCCTCTCTGTTTAATTAGGCATTTACATTGAATCACATATCAGCACCAACTATGACTCACTTTACTCCAAGGTAGAAGGACCGAGCCCCACCTTGGAGACTCAGATTCCAGGCTGGTGTGCCCTGTGTGGGCAGTGCCACAGTTGGATGTGCTTTCTTACTAAAACATAGACTTACAGCACAGGATTGAGACCACATGGCCCATTGTGGTTGTGCCAGCTCAGATAGAGCTATCCAGCCCGATCCCATTTTTCAGTTCTTTGTCTGTAGCCCTGCAGACATCAAACTGATCTGCAACCTTGGGTGGATGTGAAATATCTCATCATTGTTCTGAAATGCCCTGGGTTAACCTTTATCCAGTATTCAACTTCAGAAAATCCGATTAGCTGGTCACTATTGCATTGCGTTTTGTGGGATCTTACTGCTTGCAAATTTGCTGCTGCATTACAACTTTGCCTGCACTTTAAAAGTGTTTCATTGGCTGTAAATCATACAGGATAACAACTCTCATTTGTATAGAACCTTTAATGTGGTGATGTGACCCAAGGCACTTCACAGGGACATTATCAAACAAACATTTGACACTGATGCTCATGAGATCCTAGGGCAGGTTAAAATTGTTTCAGAGATAGTAGGAACTGCAGATGCTGGAGAATCTGAGATAACAAGGTGTAGAGCTGGATGAACACAGCAGGCCAAACAGCATCAGAGGAGCAGGAAGGCTGACGTTTCGGGCCTAGACCCTTATTCAGAAAAAAATTTCTGTTCATCCAGCTCTACACCTTGTTATCCTAGGGCAGGTGACTGAAAACCTTAGACAAGGAGGTAGGTTTGAAGGGGTGCCCTTGAAGGAAAGGGAGGGAGAGGGGTGTAAGGAGGGAGTTCCTACAAGAGCTCAAGGACTAAGTATGTGAAGCCACCATTGCCAGTGGCGGAGTGATACAAATCTGGGACTCTGAGTGGTTAGAGTGAGTGCAGAGATCTCAGAGGGTTGTGGGGATAGAAGGGATTAAGAAATCGAGAGACAATGGAGAGTTTAAAAACCAATGCGAGAGTGTACGCACTGCCCTTTTTATCCTTTGTTTAATCTGACCATGTTTATGTGGATGGTCGCAGTCTGTGCTCAGTCTCTTGTTGTGAAGCTCTTTCCCCTCATCCATACATTAGCAAGGATGTGTAAATATCGAGGTAGAACAAAGATCTGCCTGGGCACTTTCAGGAAGTTCCCCTCCCCAACATCAGTGTTTCTGCCTGGGAGTGGCAGTGATGTATGGAGAAAGTGGTGAGACCCATTTCTTTGTTAGCAAATAAAACCATGAGAAAGGCAAACACAATTCTTTTGTACCTGCAGAGACAGATGACAAAATCAAGGAAGTAACACTGAATTCTTACAAACCTTAAATTACCCCACCGCAGTTTGGAGAGATGTGTGCAGTTTAGGGGCAGTCTGAGAAGGTGCTGTGTTGACCTATTTGAGAACTCGTTAGTGATGAGATAACGAGAGAGAGTGGGAAGATAAAGCTTCACTGAACCTGTAAATGGGTGCAGTTTTGAAGCACTCACGGTTAAGGTTTAGATATATTATTTACAACCTACAAACATGCCATTCAGCCCATCTAGTCCTACCTTAATCTCCTCATTCCTTTCTCTCTCTCATGTTTATGTAAGTAAAGTTGCCATAATCCTACTGGACCGCAAGACGGAATAGGCCGTACGGCCCATTGAGTCCACACTGACCCTTCAAAGAGCATCCCACCCCCTAGGCGACTAGATATAGCACTTAGGGTGAATGGGATCAAAGGTTACGGGGAGAAAGCAGGATTAGGCTATTGAATAGGATGATCAGCCATGATCGTGAGGAATGGCGGTGCAGGCTCGAAGGGCAGAATGGCCACCTCTTACTCTATCTTCTATGTGTTCTTGTAATCCTGCATTTCCCATGGCTAACCCATCTATCCTGCACATCCCTGGACACTATGGGGCAATTTAGCATGGCCAATCCACCTAACCTGCACATCCCCGGACACTAAGGGGCAATTTAACATGGCCAATCCACTGTAACCTGCACACCTGTGGACTGTGGGAGGAAACGCATGCAGAGAATGTGCAAACTCCACACAGACTGTAGCCAGAGGCTGGACTCGAACCTGGGTCCCTGGCGCTGTGAGGCAGCAGTGCTAACCACCGTGCCGTCCTTCTGATGGTTGTTTAACCAGAGGGTCATCGTGCCTCAGACGATGTGGGAAGTTAAGAAAGTAGCTTCAGCTGATGCAGGAAATGAACCTATGTTGCTCTGCCTCACGAACCAGCCATCCAGCCATCCAGCCATCCAGCCAACTGAGCAAACCGACCCACTTTGTGTTTATGTAGCTTCCCCTTAAAAGCATCTACGCTGTCCACTTCAGCCTCTCCATGTGGGGAGTGAGGTCCGCATTCTCCTCACACACTGGGCGAAGGGATTTCTCATGGATTTCTGATTGGATTTATTAGTAACTGTCTTGTGTTGAAGTTCCAACTGAGGTGCACACTCTGTGTAATCCTTTTCTTACCTGACAGGCGTGGTTTTCTATGTCCACAGGAGTCATAGGTACTAATTGCCACCTGCTTGTTTCTGCAGATGAAGACTGGCCCCTTCGCTGAACACTCTAACCAACTGTGGAACATCAGTGCGGTCCCTGCCTGGTCCAAGGTGAACCAGGGACTGATCCGGATGTATAAGGCAGAGGTGAGTGGAACATTTTCTTTATTCATTCACGGGATGTGGGTGTTACTGGCGTTTATTGCCCATCTCTAATTCCCCAGAGGGCAGTTCAGTCAACCACATGTGGGTCAGACCGGGTAAGTTAGGCAGATTTCCTTTGGTACAGGACGTTAGTGAACCCGATGAGAGTTTTTCCTGACAATCGGCAATGGTTTCAAGGTCATCATTAAACTCTTAGTTCCAGATTATCTTTGCATTCAAATTCTGCCATGGTGGGATTTGAACTTGGTCCCCAGAACGTGGGATTAATAGTCTAGCAATAATACCACCAGGCCAATACCTACCTCCCGCTAACTTAGAGTTGTCAGTAGCCCAATGGATAAAGGCAGTGCCTGGTGTACAATGAAAGCCAACTGGGCCTCTACTTGTGAGAGTCAGTCTGTTGAAGACCCTCCGAGTAGCAGATTTAGCTAGTACTTGCCCCGGCTATGTTAGTGAAGATGCAAAGGTTAGCTTTATGGCTTTCCCCCGAGGTTCCTTACTGCTGCTGGAAAGTGACCGGTTTACCAGTTACCAGTTTGGTGTGTTTACTAAGTCGTGTGCACGCGTGATACCTTCCCCTGTCGCGGGGTCCACGTAGGAGACTGGGCACACTGCCAGTGGCCATAGAACTACACCCTACAAAAGGCACGGCCTGCCTGGTCAGGTAGAGAGAGAGGTGCAGCCTCGGGCCAGCTGTCAGCCTGCCTCCTTAGCATCCTTGCCCCTCGAGTCAGAAAGCTGTGTTTTCAAGCCCCATTTCCAGCGTGTGATCTCAGTGCCAGTACCAAGGGAAGTCAGAGAGCTGTCTTTCTGATGAGATGGTAGATCAACGCTCTGACAGCCACTTCATGTCAACATTAGAACGCAGATGCCGTATAATATAGATAAATGTAAGGTTGTCTGCTTTGGTAGGAAAAACAGGAAGGCAGGTTATTATCTGAATGATAGATTGGGGAAAAAGGGAGGTGTACTGGGTGTCCTTGCACACCAGTCCCTGAAAATAAACATTGCAGAGCAGGCAGTGAAGAAGGTAAATAGTCTGCATAGTGAGAGAATTCGAGTACAGGAGCAGGGATGTCTTGCTGCAATTGTACACAGGGCCTTGGTGAGACCACACCTTGGGTATTGTGTGCAGTTTTGGACTCCTTACTTAAGGAAGGATGTTCTTGCTGTAGAGAAAGTGCAGCAAAGGTTTACCAGACTGATTCCTGAGATGACAGGACTGAAGTATGGAGGAAGATTGGATCGTTTAGGACTCTCGTCAGTTTAGAAAAACAGGGAGGATCTCCATAGAAACAGATAAAATTCTAACGAGACTACAGGAAGGATGTTCCTGATGACCGGGAAGTCCAGGATTAGAACATAGAACATAGAACATAGAACATAGAACATTACAGCGCAGTACAGGCCCTTCGGCCCTCGATGTTGCGCCGACCTGTGAAACCAATCTGAAGCCCATCTAACCTAAACTATTCCATTATCATCCATATGTTTATCCAATGACCATTTAAATGCCCTTAAAGTGGGCGAGTCTACTATTTTTGCAGGCAGGGCATTCCATGCCCTTACTACTCTCTGAGTAAAGAACCTACCTCTGACATCTGTCTTATATCTATCACCCCTCAATTTAAAGCTATGTCCCCTCGTGCTAGCCATCACCATCCGAGGAAAAAGGCTCCCACTGTCCACCCTATCTAATCCTCTGATCATCTTGTATGTCTCTATCAAGTCACCTCTTAACCTTCTTCTCTCTAACGAAAACAGCCTCAAGTCCCTCAGCCTTTCCTCATAAGACCTTCCCTCCATACCAGGCAACATCCTGGTAAATCTCCTCTGCACCCTTTCCAATGCTTCCACATCCTTCCTATAATGCGGTGACCAGAACTGTACGCAATACTCCAAGTGCGGCCGCACCAGAGTTATTAGTCACAGTTTATTGATACGGGGATGAGATGAGAAATGTCTGCACCCAGAGAGTGGTGAGCTGTGGAATTCTCCGCCACAGAAAGCATTTCATGCCAAGCCATTGAAGATTTTCAAGAAGAAGTTAGACATAGCACTTGAGGCTGAAGGGATCAAAGGGAATGGGGGGAGAAAGCAGGAAACGGGACTGAGGTGGATGATCCACCAAGATCATATTGAATGGCGAAGCAGACTCGGAGATGAATGGCCTGCTGCTCCTATTTTTGATGTTTTTGTGAGCGGAGGTGCTGTCTTTGATATCCTGACGGACATGTTTGTCCTTCAACACACCACTGCAAGGAAGATGTCCCAGGAATGGAAAGCTTAACATATGAGGAATGTTTGAGGACTCTGGGACTATATTCGATGGAGTTTAGAAGGATGAGGGGGGATCTAATTGAAATTTACAGAATACTGAATGGCCTGGACAGAGTAGATGTTGAGAAGATGCTTCCATTTGTAGGAGAGACTAGGACCTGAGGGCACAACTTTAGAGTAAAGGGAAGACCCTTTAGAAGAGAGATAAGGAGAAACTTCTTCAGCCAGAGAGTGGTGACTCTGTGGAATTCACTGCCACAGAAGGCTGTGGAGGCCAGGTCATTGACTACATTTAAGACTGAGATAGTTTATTTCTTGATGATCAAGGGTGACGGAGAGAAAGCAGGAGAATGGGGTTCAGGAACTTATCAGCCATGATTGAATGGCGGAGCAGACTCGATGAGACGAATGGCCTAGTTTCTGCTCCTATGTCTTATGGTCTTATTAGATTTTTGTAGCACGTTGCTGTTTGTAGGAGCTTGCTGTGCATAAATTGGCTTGTGTTTCTGACAGCAGGGATGGAGGGGAGAAATATGGAGGGTGGGGGAGGGGGGTTTGCGAGGGGATGTGAGAAAAGGGCAGATCTTTTGCAGAAATATACCCTGCAGGTGCATTTTGGTGCAATTGCTACTTGCATCGTTGCGTGCTTTCTATGTTGAAATTGATTCATTCAAATGGGCCAGCACTCTGGTCACTTCATCCTTACTGGGTTAATGGCAGAGAGATTCAGACAGGGAGGCACGTTTTCCAGAAGGTTTGGAGGGCTGGGGGGCCAGTGGTGTTGGGGGCAGGCAAGGGAGCAGAGGAAGCAGGTGGTTACTGAAGTGGTAAGAACTGTAACCCCTCCACAATTACCTGAGCCAACAGGTAGATAGATCCACTGGACACTGTTTGGTTAGTGAAACCTGGCCGGGAGAGTGTCAGACTGTATCTAGAGGTACCTGTTCAAAACCATTTGGGGACCATTGAATTTTATGATTGTGTACTGGGTATAGACCCGGCCAACCCCCTCCCCTCACCCCTTCTCCCTCCCTGTCTCTCCCTCCATCTCTGATGGTGGTTATTTCTCTACTGTTGCCCCCACCACACAACCCACCCTCTACGGTTCCTTTCCTTTCAATGCTGCCCCTCACGGAAGGTCAGTTCAGGAGATGGCAGTGTGTTTGTGGCCCAGGCTCTGCACCTCACTGTCCAGCTGACTGACTGTCTTTCTGTCTGAGCATTGTAGCCATGTCCGAACCTATTACCCCTATCAGTATTTGAGCAGCAGCTGTAGGTGCCGAGGGTGGGTAATACTGCTCACAGCCACTCTTTACCCTATGCAAATACGCACCCAGCCCCCCTCATTCCTATTCTCCCTCGACGCTCACACTGGCCCGTTACCTGTGGCCGAAGCTTGGTATTTTTGTTTGTGTGTGTAGGAGTGCATTTGTAAGTGTGTGTGCGCACGTGCGGAGGGGTTTGTGTAAAAGTGCATGTGTAGGAGGGTGTGTGTGTGTTTGTATATAATGTCGGCGAGCATGCATGTTTTTAGGGGAGTGTGAATCATAGAATCATAGAATCCCTACAGTGTGGAAACAGGCCCTTTTGGCCCAACAGGTCCACACCAATTCTCGGAGCATCCCACCCAGACCCATCCCCCTAAAACCTACCTAACCTACATATCCCTGGACACTAGGGGCAATTTAGCATGGCCAATCCACCTAGCCTGCACATCTTTGGACTGTGGGAGGAAACCGGAGCACCCGGAGGAAACCCGTGCAAACTCCACACAGACAGTTGCCTGAGGGTGGAATCAAACCCGGGTCCCTGGCGCTGTGAGGCAGCAGTGCTAACCACTGAGCCACCATGGTTGTAGGTGTGGGGGGCCTGGGATATTGTGTGGGGGTGCAGGTGTCGGGGTCAGTGGGGGAATT